TGTTAGTTTCCTAGATGCAAGCAATGTAGTTTAATGCTTGCATCCAGGAGTATTTTAAGTGAAGTGCAAATAAAACCAGTTAAATCTCCCCAGGCCTAAGCAGTTGTTAGGCTCTATGCTTTCTGAAACCCTGCTTTTTAATGGAGTAATATGGTTTTGTTCTCATCAAATAGTTTGAGATGGGCTGGGCGCAGTGGCTCATGCCTGTAATCCTAGCACTCTGGGAGGCCGAGGAGGGCAAATTGCTCTAGGTCAGGAGTTCGAAACCAGCCTGAGCAAGAGTGTGACCATGTCTCTACTATAAATAGAAAGAAATTAATTCACCAACTAATATATAGAGAAAAAATTAGCCGGGCATGGTGGCACTTGCCTGTAATCCAAGCTACTCTGGAGGCTGAGGCAGCAGGATTGCTTGAGCCCAGGAGATTGAAGTTGCTGTGAGCTAGGCTGACGCCATGGCACTCACTCTAGCCTGGGCAACAAAGTGAGACTCTGTCTCAAAAAAAAAAAAATAGTTTGGGATGGTGTTAAAAACAGACTAAAATACTACAAAATATTGAGTGCCTTTTACATTTCTTTCAATATTATAAAATATCAGCATAATTTACTTTCTTTTCTATAAAAACAATATAACAATGATGTGTTTTTAAAAATACATAGACATAGTCAGTTTACCTTCTTGCTCTTGGCCTTAACAAAACCTTTCAGGGACCAGTATAATATTCCTATTCTTGAGTCATTACTCTGACTTTCAGTAGCATCCTATATTGATTTTAAGATCTTGCTTATGGCTTTTTAGGCATTTCATGGTTTAAATATTCTATACCTTTCAGATTGATTACTTCTATATTATCTGTCACTTTTTTTATTGTCAGAGCAGGGGCTGCTTTCTGCTCTGTTGTCACAAATGGATTCCCATGAGGCTAACACTTTTCATGCATCTTGCCAACAGAAATTGCTACTTCTTGAAGTAAGTAATTTGGAGCCTCTTACAGCCTTATAAAACATAAGTGTAACATTCATTTTTTTTCTACTGGATTTGGAATGCTCGCTTATCTGAGTGTTTGTTCTTGGGCTAACTGAAATGATTCTGGAGAAGCTTTTGTAAACACTAGATACATTTGCTTCCTGATAATAGTGTTCCTTTTATCTACTTCTCTTTTCTAAAAGTATGTCAAACAAGCAGGTACATTTTCTGTAATTCGATAGCTGTTTAAATTGCTTTCTTATCACTGATCTCAAGACTTTTCTAATATTATTTGTGTACCTTTCTCAATGTGAATGACTATATTTCCGCGATGTAGTTTGATTTGCTAAGGTTCTCAGTAATCTTTCTGGTATATCTTCCTTTTTCCCTAAGAGAACTATGGATATAGTGGGAGCTTTAGAATTTCCTCTGAGGATATCTGCCTTCAGTCTACAGTAGTACAAAACTGGTTGTTAATTGTGAATTTGATATTTTGTACTTTATTTCCATAAAATGACCTAACACATTGAAGTTTTAAATTCCTGTATTTTAAATAGCAGTTTAAAATGCATTTTAATTTTGGAATTTAAAAAAGAACTAATACTTTTATAAACAGTAAACATTACAATTTGAGAAAAGGAAAATATTAGACCAATTAATATTTTAGTGCCAAATACTGCTATTCCATAATTTAAATATCATTACTATAAATACTCACAGAATTGCAGAATGTGGGACCTGAAGAGCCTTTAAAGATCACCTAGTCCAAATTCTTTACTTCAAAGATAATTATTTGTTTAACATTAAATATTTAGTGAAAGGAGTGAAAATTTCAATGTTATTTATAATAATATTATAATAATATATTTTATTTTTAATTCTTTTTTTTTTTTTGAGACAGAGTCTCACTCTGTTGCCTGGGCTAGAGTGCTGTGGTGTCAGCCTAGCTCACAGCAACCTCAAACTCCTGGGCTCAAGCAATCCTACTGCTTCAGCCTCCTGAGTAGTTGGGACTATAGGCATGCGCCACCATGCCTGGCTAATGTTATATATATATGCATATATATACACATATATGTATTTAGTTGTCTAGCTCATTTCTTTCTATTTTTTTAGTAGAGACAGGGTCTCACTCTTGCTCAGGCTGGTCTTGAATTCCTAAGCTCAAATGATCCACCTGCCTCAGCCTCCCAGAGTGATAGGATTACAGGCGTGAGCCACTAGGCCTGGCCAGATTTTTAAATTTTTAATTATTATGGATACATAATAGCTGTATATCTTTACAGGGTACATGTGATGTTTTGATAGAGGCATACAATGTGAATTAATCAAATCAGGGTAATTTGAGTATCCATCACCTCAGGCATTTATCATTCCTTTGTGTTAGGAACATTCCAATTCTACCTTTTAGTTATTTTAAAGTATATCCTAACTTACTGTTGATTATAGTCACTTTGTTGTGCTATCAAATATGTTCTTTCTAACTACCTATATTTTTACACCCATTAACCATCCCCTACTTTATCTCCCTTCCCTGTAACCCTTCCCAGCCTCTGGTAACCATCATTCTACTCTCTATCTCTAGGATATCAATTATTTTTAATGTTTAGTTCCCACATATGAGTGAGAACATGCAAGATTTGTTTGTCAGTGCTTGGGTTATTTCACTTAACATAATATTCTCCAGTGTCATCCATATTGTTGCAAATGGCAAGATTGCATTCTTTTTTGTGGCTTTAAATATTCCATTGTGCATATGTACCACAATTTCTTTCTTTATCTATTCATCCACTGATGGACACTTAGGTTTATTCCAAATCTTGGCTATTATGAATAGTGCTGCAATAAACATGTGAGTGCAGATATCTCTTCAATATACTGCTTTTTGCCTCCTCTGCATATATCCCTAGCAGTTGGATTGCTAGGTCACATGGCAATTGTATTTTCGGTTTTTTGAAGAACCTGCATACTCTTTTCCATAGTGGTGGAACTAATTTACATTCCCACCAATGGCATACAAGGGTTTCCCTTTCTCCACATCCTTGCCAACGTTTCTTATTGTTTGTCTTTTTGATAAAAGACATTTTAACTGGGGTAAAATGATATCTCATTGTAGTTTTGATTTGCATTTCTCTGATGACTAATGATGTTGAGCAAATTTTCATATACCTATTGTCCATTTTTATGTCTTCTTTTGATAAATATCTATTCAGATCATTTTCCCATTTTTAATTGGATTATTTGACATTTTCCTATAGAGTTCTTAAAGTTTCTTATATATTCTAGTTATTAGTCCCTTGTCAGATGGGTAGTTTGCAAATATTTTTCTCCCATTCTATGAGTCATCTCTTTCCTTATTGATTGTTTCCTTTACTGTGCAGAAGCTTTCAGCTTTTAGCCTTTAGCTTCTGCACAGCAAAGCTTCCGCACAGCTTCAGTTTTTCCCCATTCAGTATGACACTAGCTGTGGGTCTGTCACATACGACTTTTATCATTTGAGATAAAGTTCTTCTATCCCAGTTTTTTGAATGTTTTTATCGTGGTTTAAGTGGTGTTGAATTTTATCGAATACTTTTTCAGCATCAATTGAAATGATCATATGCTTTTTGTCCTTTGGTATGTTGATGTGACATATGACATTGATTGATTTGTGTTGATGTCATCCCATTTGTCCAATTTTGTTGTCTGGTTGCCTATGCTTTGGGGTAATACTAAAGAAATCATTACTGAGACCAAAGTCCTGAAGCATTTCCCCAATGTTTTCCTTTAATGATTTAATAGTTTTGGGTCTTAGATTTAAGTCTTTAATCCACTTTGATTTGATTTTTGTACATGATGAGAGGTAAGGGTCTAATTTCATTCTTCTGCTTATGGATATACAGTTTTCCCAGCACTGTTTATTGATGAGACTATCTTTTCCCCACTGTATGTTCTTGGCACCTTTTCATTATCCTTGGCCTTTAGGAGCTTGATTGTTAAATGCCTAAGTCTTGTTTGGATTAAATCTGCTTGATATTGACCTCCTAGTACCTGAATATTGATATGTTTCTCTAGGTGTGGAAACTTCTCTGTTATTATTTATTTAACAAACTTTCTACCCCAATGTCTCTCTCTCTCTACTTCCTCTTTAAGGCCAATAATTTTTAGATTTATCCTCTTAAGGATATTTTCCAGATCTTGTAGGCATACTTCATTCTTTTTTATTCTTTTTTCTTTTTGCTCTTCTGACTGTCTTCAAGCTCATTAATTCTTCCTTCTGCTTGGTCAAATCTACTGTTGAAAGACTCTGATACATTTCTCAGTTTATCAGTTGAATTCTTAAGCTTCACAGAATTTCTGCTTGATTTTTTTTTATTATTCCAATCTCTGTTAAATTTCTCTGAAAGCTTCAAAATTCCTTCTTTCTGTTGTTTTGAAGTCCACTGAGATATTTTGAATTCTTTGTCTGAAAAGTTACATATCTCCATTACTCCAAGATTGGTCACTGGCACCTTATTTAGTTCATTTGGTGAGACCATGTTTCCTTGGGTGTTCTTAATGCTTGTAGATATTTGTCAATGTCTGGGCATTACAGAGTTAGATATTTATGTTAATATTCACAGTCTGGGCTTGTTTGAGCATGTCCTTCTTGAGAAGGCTTTCCAGATATTCTAAGGGAACTGGGTGTTATGATCTAAGTCTTTGGTCACTGCAGCCATATCAACATTGGAAATGCCCCAAGCCCAGTAATGCTGTGACACTTGTAGACTCCTGGTGGTACTGCCTTATTGGACTTGGGTAATATATGGGAGAATTCCCTGGATTTTCAGTTAAAGTCTCTCACTCTCTTCCTTCTCTTTCTGTGCTGGGCTGCTGGAGTTGGGGGGAGGAGTGACATGGGGACACCCTCATGGCCACCAGCACCAGGTTAAACCTGAAGCCAGTCCAGTCTCACTGAAGGCCTGTTGTGACTGTTGCCTGGCTACCTCTGATGTTTATTCAGTGCCCAAGGGCTCTTTAGTCTACAGGTGGTGAATTCTTCCAGGATTGGTTCTTTTTCTTCAGGGCAGCATTTTTCCTTCTGGCCCTGGGTGAGTACAAAAATGCCTTCCAGAAACTAAGACCTCGCTTTGGGAGTCTGCTAAGTACTTTATCTTACTTTGGCTAAATTAGTATGCAAGTTGTAAAGCAAAGTTTTCTGAACTTTTCCCTTTCCTTTCCCCAAGTGGAAGAAGACCCCCCTAATCCTTACTGCCTATAGTCGGGAGTGAGAATGACACAGGTACTGGCTTGGCTGCCACTGGTGTCTCACTGCGTTATGTGCGCCCCAAATCCACTGGCTCTGAGCCAGCACAGCTGCAGGAATTGCCCAAGGACTGCAGTCTTTTTGGCATAACTGCCCCAGAAACTTAGTCCAGGCTCTAGGTTGCTTTTTGTCAGTTGATGGTGGTCTAGCCAGAACTCAGATTCCAGGGCAGAGGATTTGCCTGTGGCCAAGTTGTTCTAAATGCTCCCTCTGTGGGCACTAGGAGAATTCTGTCCTGTGCTGTGTTCTTCTGTGCTGGAGAGGACCTGGGTTTCAATGCAAAGTCCCATGATCACTTCACTCTCCTTTCCTAGGGCACACAGATTTTCTCTCTCACTGTTGAGGAATGGGACAAGGGTGTCATAGGCAATGCAAGATTGTCTTTTTTGCTCTCTTCAGTGTCTCTTTCCTCAATATAATGTTAAAACCAGGTAGCATGATTGCTTACCTGATTTTTGGTTCTTCTGAAGGTGTTTGCTTGCATGGATAGTTATTGAATTTGGTGTTTGTGTGCATGGACATTGCTGGAAGTTTCTATTCATCCATCTTGCTCTGTGCCCCACACTACTGTGCTTCGTATTCTATGACTAGCAAATTTTCTCTACACTAAAGTGTCTGCCCCAGAAAATTTTTTACAAGTTTTTACAATTTTTTACAAGATACTGTCAGAAGGAAGGCTAGAAATTGGAAGAAAATATTTAAAATAAATTTGTGGTTATGGAAGTACCAGTCTTACCTCCAAGTTAAAAAGCAGTGTAGTTACTGAAAGCGAATCATTTTTATGCAGTAGGTTTATGGTGTGACAACCTGACAGTATTTACTGTTTTGTAACAGGATGAGGACAGCTAATTGTCATATGATAATTTTTAATAATTAGTATGCATAATAGAAGTAACTCACCTTTTCATAAGAACAAAGTTCTTATGAATAAACAATAGATTCTTCAGCGTGGAATAATAGAGGCCATGTGGCTAATTTGCGATAGGTCACAGTTACACATTTGTGAGCCATAAGCACTCTGTGCCCTGTGTAATGAAAGGCAAAAGTCTAAAAACTGATTGTAATAATAAATAATTTGACAGGTATTTGCATTTGTTTGTGTTGTTGAAGATCATGTCATCTAATTCCTCTGTGTAGAGAATTACTGTGAAGAAAAAAATAGGAAATCTTCATCCCTGCCTTTTGCCAATTTATTGAACATTATGGTATTAGTTTGCTAATGCAGCTATAACAACTAATACAAACGTAGTGGCTTAAATCAATGCACATTTATTTTCTTATAGTTTCAAAAGTCAAAAATCTAAAATGGGATTTAAGGGGTTAAAATAAAGATGCCAGCAGAGCTAGTTCTTTATGGAGGCTCTAGGAATAGCCTAGACTTGCTTTCTTGGCTTGTGGCCCCACATTGCATCTCACTTTCCATTGTCACATCACCTTTTTCCTTCTATTGTCAAATCTCTCTGCCTCTCTCTTATAAGGACACTTGCAATTACATTTAGGGCCTACCATATAATCCACGATAATCTCTCCAGCCTCTCCATCTCAAAATCCTTAATTTAATCACTGCTTCAAAGTCCCTTTTGCCATGTAAGGTTACATGCACAGGTTCTGGCAATTAGGATGTGGAGCGCTTTGGAGACCATTGCTCAGCCTATCCCAATTAATATTAATTTTAAGACATATCTTTGTTCTCATTTAAATAGTATCTATCTGGGGGTGAGAACAAGGAGCTTTTTTAAAGATATAAATTATCTTTTGGAGTAGATATTCAAATCTTGCCTATCCAGAAAACTTCTAGCAGAATAGATGACACCTTGATTCAGTAATGACAGCATTCTTATCATCAGAGTAAGCCAGTAGTTATTTTACAACAAATGTCCTTAACTCTCTCTTTTGAAAGTTGGTAGGAGTTAGAGTTCCTTAAAGAAGAAGACAAAGCACGAAGTCATGATTCCAAAGAGAAAATCCTTTGAATACAGCCTTCAGGAAAGCTACTCACCTTCATTTTCCTGTACAAGTGAGTTTCTGCTTCAATGACTCAAGATAGCTGGGAGGAAAACATCCACTTCCAAAGATCTAATTCTGGCATATAATTTATATGAGATTAAAATGCATTATTCATCTTCATATCTCACTCCTAGCATAGTGTTTAGCAAATGAAAGGTATTGAATTGAAATAAACATTTGAATTTGTGTTCAGAGACATCTCCTTTTATTTCCCTTGAAGTATATGCCTTTTTAGCAACCTTGTTGATAAACAATCTGAATGATTCCATTAAAAAATACCTATACTGCAAGCCATTACAAGTAGTACTTATTTTATTTTGTAAAAATATATATATTTAAAAGATATTCATATGATTTTACTCAATCTTGCCTTACACAAGTAGAACTTTCATAGTCTAAATATTTGGTTAATATTCTCTTTTCTTTATGGTCTCCTTTAATCACAGGATGCAGATCAGTGACAAAGTTATTTCTCTCAACACCCTGTCCATCAAGAAAACAGGATCCTTTGATTCTGGGCTGAGGATTTTATTCATTTCCTTGTTAAAGTTCAACATCATTTTCCATAGAACAAAACCTTTGTTTAGTATCTCTCCTGGATCTGGTTTTAGTTGAAGAAACGTCTTGGATCAAATGTTTGTTTCTCTTTCCAGGGAGTCTGAGTCTTGGTTTTAGGGACTAAAACCTAATATTTTAGTCCCTAATATTCTTGGTTTTAGGGACTTGGATGACACTTTCCAAGCTTCTGTAAGTGACTGTACTGTTTCCTCTTCACAAACCTCATGCTTTCTAAATTCCTACTCACCTGATTCTTCAGTATACATTCCATAAAATTACTCTGATTAATTCTACCTTTTCTAGATTGCCACATGCCAAAAAGTAAAGAGAATGGTCACAATATCCCTAAAATATATAACTTTGAAAAAACAATTTCATTTTTTCAGAAGTAAAAAATCCTCAAAATAGCATTTCTAAAACAACAAAATATGTCAACTTTTCTAATCTAGTCAGATATATGACCTAAAAGAGCAGGATTTCAACCACAAGCTAGTGAGAGGTTTAAGTGAATAGGGAACAGAAAGAAGAATGAAACTCTGGAAAAAAAGAATAGCAGAGTTAAATGATCAACAACTATAGACCCTAGAAAAGTAAATTTCAATTAAGGACAGCCTTTAGAACATGGAAAGCTTATTTTTAAAAAGTATATAAAGCATTATACCCATGTCCTGTGCACAATTTCCACATCATACTTCTTAGGCTAGCACATGAACACCAAGACCAATGAAAAGTAAACATGTGGAGGGGTAGAGAAAATTTTTCTACATCTTATTAAAATTTAGCTCTACACAATATATAAAAATCTATTATCTCTCCTATAATTTTTTCAAATTTTTCTTATAAGACATATTCTCTATTTTACTGACAGCTTTACTACTTGTATGACAGATATAAAATTGAGTCCTCATTGGGCTTCTTTGCAAATCGAATTGCCTCAAAAGCTTCTTATGTGCAGGAATTGACAAGAATCATCTCTTAATCTTATTTAGAAAGTAGAGGTTTAGACTTATTCTAAAGTTCCATTCATAATTACCTTAAGTAAGTAGATTTACCATACTAAGCCTAGAGACTTACTATAAATAAGAATTTGTCAAACCTGCTGCTGTATAATAACAATCAATCTGAACTATAAATGTAGCTCAAATAATATTTTCAACATAATTTTAATATAATCTTCAATATTAAACTTTCAGACGTCAAAGGTTAAAATATATTAACATATATTTTGCCAGTACTCAATCACTAACCCAGAGTATAGGAGATCCATACACATAGTCCCAATCCTAAAACACTAGTTTCATTTCCATATATGCTTGGTACTATTTCTAAAGCAATACTAAATGACATAGAAAATAAAGAAACAGTGCCGTAATAAACAAGATGGAATCAGAATTTATTTTCTTATTAAATTATGATCCATATATTTGCCTATCATCTATTATTAAAAAGTCAAGTGATTGATAGAAAGGAGATAAGAGTCAACTGCTTTGCACGATCGAACTTCATAAATCAATTCTGCTATTCAGTACTCTTTTTTTCCCACGAACTTTGACTTTACTGAATTGCTATAGCTATTCTTTAATGAAATGACTTGCAGTTGATATGAAAATAATAATGTTGACTAGTCATGAAAATCTGGCAGCCAAAACTAACTACTTGAATTAAAAAGTACTAAACAAGCAAAATATTTCTTTAGTGTCAGAATTTTGTTTTACCAAGTATTAGTTAAGTCTTGCATCATTTAAAAGTATGCTACTGTGCAGCAATGATTTTTCCTATCTTACGGCATGAAAGCAATTGCATCTGTGGAAAGTGTGAAAATTGCTTTAAAATAATAGTGACTCTGTATTAGGACACGTATAACTGCAACTCAGTACATTGATGATCTTTGCCACACACCTGCTTCCATCAGTTTATAAAATAATTTATGATCTGAACAGAGTTTCTTACATGGGTGAAATTTGTCTCCATCAATCATTCTCAAACATTTTTGTTCTCAGGATCCATTTACACTACTAAAAATTATCCAGGATCCCAAAGGGCTTTTGATCGTATGGGTTATATCTCTTGATATTTACCATTTTGGAAATGAAAACTGAGAAATTAGGAAATATGTATTAATTCATTAAAAAATAACAATAATAACATATTTTATGAAAATAACTATCTTCCATAGTAAAAAGTTGGTGGCAAGAGTGGCACTTTTATGTTTTTCAATTC